CCCGAGCATGATAACACGGAGACCGGAGTGTTGCCATTGGAAACGGGACGGAGTCATCTTCTGTGAGCTCAGATGAGCAATTATCCTTTTCAGCTCACAGGAGGTGGAAAAAAAAGGCCCTTTTTCTGGGAACGTGCCTCCCTCAAATATTTCTCCTTGCGGTCACAGGAGAACAGCGGCAACTTTCGAGCAGAATAGGCAAATGTCAATCTGTCACAGCGCAGGAATGTGTTATTTTTACCGTGGCTATTTTTTACCTCCATTTATTTCCATGGCGCCAAGTAACAACATTATGTTTGAACACGTTACAGCTCGACCACAGGAGCCTCTTGAGGCATTAGTTTATAGATGGTTGCCGCACTTTGCATGCGACCTACAAAACATTTATGGAGGGCTGAGGGTTTCGAGTTGTGAGGGCTGCTGCTCATTTCGGTTTACAATCCGATCTTGCTAAGATGTGGTGATCAAATAATTTTACGATATTGTAAATAAACAGTAAAGAAGATATGCAAGGCCATAATTAAAAAAAAGAAACACGACCAAAGCATCCCTGTAATACTTACTAATTGTAACAGATTTGCATGAAAGACAGAGTGCAGATTTATATTTGTTGAAAGCACAATTATACGTAGATTAACTCTTCGTTTAATTGCTACCTAGCCTCTGCATTCTCTCAGAGCCTTTCAAAATTACGCTCCCACTTTGTCACGTTGTAAGCTTTCGCTTCAGTGTGTCTGGAAGTTAATGTAGCGCGTAGCTGTGAAGTGGGAGAAAAACGATGCGTGGTTTGCAGTGTCTTTTGCAGATAAAGTGCTTTGCCCATTTTTCTTTGCAAAATATGCCAAGCAGCATTTGGATAGAGAGCATCTGTGAACATCAATTCTTCAAAGTTTCACCACAGATTCTCAAGAGGATTTATGGCTTAAAATTTACTAGGTGATTCCAACACATTAATGTGCTTCGACCTAAGCGACTGCATTATGTTTAGGGTGGTTGTCCTGCAGGAAGGAGACCTTTGAACCGGTTTAGATCCAAGTCTGCTTTACACTTGTCTCATCTCCATCTTACCACCAAACTTTGACAGCTTCACAGCTGCTGCTAATGAAAGCTTTCCTACAGTCTGCTGTTGCCACCACCAAGTCTCACCATGGGGATTCTGTGCCCCAGATGATAATGGAGTTAGTTTTTCACCATGCGTAGCCTGTTGTTTGAAGGCCATAAGCTTTGGCTTTGGTCTCATTTGACCACAGCAACTTTTTTTTTCCTACAGATTATCCTATCAGAGCTGTGGATCTCTGCAGCTCCTCCACAGTTACCTACCACTCAGTTTTCCTCATCAATGCTCTTGGTAGAGCTGTTCCCTTTTATTTATTTTACTAAACACAATAGAAATATTCTTTATTCTTTGTGTTCAAAGTTTGGTCTTATTAACCAACCCTTTAATGCTTTAATATTACCCACAACTTAGCCCCCGTCTTGTCTGCTGTGGTTCTTGGTCTTCACAGTAGTGTTTGTTCACTGTTGTTATTGTTCTAGCACACTGTCTTGTTGACGTTTTGTTCATAACCCGAGTGCAGATGAAGAGACTGACTGGCAACAGGGTTGGACACGGTGAACTTTCTGGCAGAGTCCAGCAATACTGGGGCAGAGGCCTCTCAGGAAGTGTTCTCGCCCATATTTGCGCCCACACAGTGAGGAACACACTCCCAACGGAGACACACACAACTTGGCGAGGACTGAGTCAGGCATTAACCGGGTAGAGCGAGACTTAACAATGGATGAAAGGGCTTAATCAACGCAAAAGGCATTGAAGTAAGACTTAAAAGGAACATCAAACCAAGAAGAAGCCACTGACACGGATCTAGGAGCTACTAGTCACAAAGAAATGAGCTAACATGGTAACATATTTATAGCAATAATAGAGAACGTAAATGAACTGAATACAATCAAAACAAGAGCAAGAAAACCAGAAGCCTAACACCCAAGGATTGTGACACAAAACGTGAAAAAGTTCAAGGTTGTGAATAAGTTTGTAAGGCCCTGTATGTACAGTAAATACTGCATGTCTGCACCCACTTGTTGATCCTTCATGAGTTTCCACTGAATGACAGTTTACGACTCGTTTCCCACAGCTTGTGATGCTGGTAGAGCTATTTGTCTGACGGACTTGTCTGCATGTACGGGTGGCTTTTAATGCCACTACTTTGTTTATATCTTTGAACCCATCTCTCCTGTCTCTGTGTTTGCGTGTGTGTGTGTGTGTGTGTGTATTTTCATCCCGTACAATGCAGAGCTATCCTGTAGTTTGCCAAGGAACAATTTTCTGTTGCTGTTTTCTGGCTTTCATACTCAAAATAGAAAATTACTCTGAAGAATTCAGGTATTTAAAATCAATTTATTCAGCTTGGAACTGAAAGTGTCCTAACAATCTCAATAAAGGAAGAAAAAGGGGGAACAAATAAGGCATAGAAGGTTGTTGCGTGTCTCTACAATAAAAGAAAGGGTTTGTTTTTGCTCGAGAGCTGTTATCGTCCGTTTCCATTCTCGATATTTCTGCGCGAAGAAAAAGCTAGCACGAATAACTTTTTAGTAAACAGTGCAGATTAAAATAATTACTCCTTGACATGGAATAAATATTTCCAGATGAAACCTAAGTAGGACCTTTCCCCAATATTCAACCTTTTCCAAAATAAAAGACGGAAATATTCTGAGGCACCACGGGGATACTACCCGTTTGGCTTGTCTTCACTCTTAAGCCCTCCTCTTTCTTTCCCTCTGTCCGTGTTTTAATGAGCGTTGGCAGACACGGCCTAGTGTAGAAAGAGACATAACCCCTGCAGACAGGATGGGAGCCCTTATTTACTTTGCAGATAAGGTTTGTGGGTAGTGGATGGAGCGGAATGTACTGGAATGCTGGATTGTTTTGGGGAAGCTTCTTGGATGTCTACGATAACAAAACAATGCAGAGAAGTTTGCAGGGGGGAGGGTGGACCTTCAAAAATAATTAAGACTACTTAAAGTACCAGCAGTTGTCCCAGAGGGTCCGCTTGGGCCTAATGCTTTAAGGAGTATCCACAGGACCAGAGAACTTCCTCCCAAAGCCATTCTTACCCTCTGGCATTGCTTTCTTCAGGAGCTCTGAGCGGATTATTAACCTTCTCACGTTGAATGAAATGTGAAGTTAATATTTCTTTCAGAAGCTTCCTCATTTTGAGGTGTCTTTGGTTTTGTTTATGTCCACCTTTCTCACTGTCCCGCCACAGTGGATGTTTGGTCCTCTCACCCTTTTGGCAGTTTATACTTTTGGAGTTTTGGTTGTTTAGTTTCAAACTTTTCTGAGTTCAAACAGGAGTCGCCTTGTCCGCCGCGTGGCTCAGTGGTAGAGCAAATGTTTTTTTGTTGTTTTTTTTAGGCTGCGCACTGTTTATTGTGCTCATGAAATTAAAGTTTCTTTGTATAACCCTAACCGTAAGATCCAAAAGACTTTTACATTACATGATATGCTCATATTGAGACTATTACACGAATAAACAAATTAGGAGCAATGCAGGGTTAAGAGGCCAGGGCTGAGCTGCCAACTACAGACAGTTTCTCTTTGGCAACTTTACCGAGTGTTTTCAGCTCGTGGATAATTTCCCTTTACTTGGATGTTGCATCATAGCACCGTCTGCATAATGACTGCAGTGAAACATTGCCCGTTCTCTTTGATCTCTTTGACTTCTGCTTTTATGGTCAGATTCACTGATGATCAGTTAATGAAGTGCATCTGATAAGATGTACCTGACTGATATTTGCCCCTTTGCACCTGATGAAAACATCAGTTTCTTGCTTAAAAAAAAAAACAGACCATGATGTGGAGAAATTATCCAAGATCAAAAGAGATTTTTTTTAAAAAGTTCATAAATATGTATGGTCGCATTTACAGTCCGGCTTGATAGTACTGAATGTTTATTTGACGTTACCTTGGCTTGGATATTTGCACCATGTCCTGACTGACTAAAAATGAGAAAGGACTATGATTCAATTACAGGTTTTCCTGTCTGCCTTGTTTTAATTCACTCTCTGTGCCTGATATTTAGAGCTACTATTTAACATTTCACTGACCTTTACAGAGTATGTTTTGTAGGGCATTAGCTCACGCTATTATGTGTTCAACAATCACAAATACCCGATGGACTACTCAGTCACTGGAGAATAAACATATCACACCTCAAAAAACATGCGTTCACATTAAATTAAAGGGGGACAATAAATGCTTTTAGGAAATGCAATCGTTCCTTTAGAACCAAATATGTACTGATGTTAAGTACAAAACCTTGTAAACCTAAATTTAGTCAAACGGTTGATCCTCAAGTGATAGATGCTAAATGTATTCAGAAACAGACCTCTTAGCATGTCGTGACATTTCTGGTAAAGATGTGTAAAAAGTCCTAAAATTCATTTTGTATCTTAGTGTCATAGTTCCTTTATAAAATTTTTAGAAACAAATCAAACCTTCAGTTTAGTCGAGTTAACTATGTGTGGTTCAGTATTCATAGATTCACGTATTCATATATTATTTTGTGGTACATGACTATTGATATATGATATTTACAGGTTTTCTACAAAAATATTCAAAAATAAATGCAGTTTGGTCAGTAGAACTACTAAGGTGCAATGCTACTTGACAATTGCTGTTGCCTTGTGTTTGCAAAACAGTCCATTCAGGAGCATATGTTCAATTTCCTTCATGCTAAATATTCCAGTCAAATGCTTAGGGATATTATCTTAGCTCAACAAGGCAGAGTTGGGAAAAATCTTGCTTAGGTGCTGAAGTCACCAACATTATGCAGGGAATAGACACAGACCTCCAATTATAGGGTGGCCTTCTCATCCCACATCAGAGTCTGACCTCATGAATGTGCTTCTGAATCAATTGATCCATAATTTGTATTAACACATTCCAAAACCTTGTGGAAAAACTGTCAGAGAAAAAAAAAAGAAGCTGTTAAAGCAAATTGGTCTGTTAAAGTCTTTTTTATTAAAAATTTGACGCCACTAAAGTTCAATGGATGGATTCTCAGCATTTGTAAATAAAAGCAGAATGCTGATCCTTTACATCATTTACGACAAATCACCGTCTAGTGTTGTCATTAACTGGCAAGAAGAAGTGAAGGGGATGACAGTATATGAGAGGCATCACACAGTTCAGCTGTTCTTTTTGTTGCTGCGATATGTTCATATGTTTTGTGAAAAAGCTCAATTTGATGTTGAATCATGTCTTCCTACTTCTTCATGCCACTTGGTATTCGGTGTCAGCGTCACTAAATCTGGCACTTTGTCAGCAAAGACTCCTCTTCTGAAGATTTTACAGTAGAAAAACAGTAAATGCTGTTGAAAGCAGACACTTTCATGTAATCCCAACAGAAATTAATGCATTAAACTCTGCCTTAATCTTTGCACGCTTGAGAGAAGGAATGCACTTTTATTGGCGTGGCGTGTCCGTGCCAGCCGGCGAGACCGAGAAGTGTTAAAGTTAGTGTGTTAAGTGAGAATTACAGCCATGTGTGATAACTGTAATTATACAGTTCAGCGGGGGGTGGGGGGATCTTGCACGGCATTCATCATCACTTAGATGTGGGGTCGCATCGTTCCGTCTCCGATTGGAGGATGAATGCGTGTGTCAGAGGGTGTTGAGTCTTGGTGGAGTGTTTAATCCTGTGCAATTTTCATACTTAAATATTCTCTTTAATCTTTATTTTATTGTCCCCATCTTGGGTGCGATGATGCACGTCAAGAGTGATGGGGCTCTCTTTGATTTCGAGGAGTGACGCTCGCAGGGGCACCGCAACATGTGGGAGTTTGAGGGTTTTAAATGAGGCATGTGACAATTCGAGTTCAAATAAGCGTGGCTGACTCCTGTGGGGGGGTTTAACTCCGGTCACCATCTTCGCTCCCGCCCGTCGTTCCCGCTCATGCTTTACTCCCTCCGCTTGAGTTAAGGTCGGCGTAGCCGTCGCCGAGACGCATGCAGGGCCTCAAATGGATGCGGGATGCAAACAAGTCCCCGTGGCATTCCCGAGCACCTTGCGCAAGTCCAATGCAAGGTCACTCACCAAATCAGCGATTCATCTGACAGATAAGATGGCTGGGGAATATTGACGGGAACACCTGCGAGGGGAGGAACGCAAGGCATGACTATCTTCACACCAAGTTGGTTGTGCGGAGGAGGGGGGAAAAAATTCCAAACATTCTCACTTTTCCCCAAACGGCATGAAATTATGAAGGTGTGTGTGTGCGTGTGTGTGTGTGTGCAAAGTGGAGAGGGCAAAGGACAAGGATAGTGAAATATCTGCTAATCTTTGCTCACTTTGATCATCTAAAAGAAGAAGAAGAAAAATAAACATACTCTTTTCATTTTATAAGCGGGCTGCTGTGCCCCTTTTGAGGAAACGAACCGAGTTACCCAGCAGAATCTCATTAACATCAAAGAGGTAAGTCAGGTGCAATGCAGTTTTAACTTTTGTTGTAACACAAATCAGCAATTAGCTCATTCCTTTGCTTTGGCATCATCTTCCTCCTGGTTTAATTTAACTTACGTAAGAGTCAACCTCCCCACCCCCAACCCCAACATCCCGCAGCAGACTTTCTTTGTTTGCATGTTTTAGCCATGATAATGTGGGTGAAACTGACCTTGTGAGTGTTCATGCCCTGCAGGGTTTACATGTTTACAAGTGTGTGTTTGCGAGATAGTGGCTGTGATCACTCATCAGATTAAAAATACATGACGGCAGAGAGTTTTTCCTTTTTCCTTCTCTGCGAGCAGACACACACACACACACACACACACACACACACACACACACACACACAGGGAACAGTTTCCATCTGCAACAATCTGAGCCAGAGTTACTTTAAAGTGCATGTGTTATGATTGTTACAACCTTCGCCCTTCCAATTGCTACATCCAATCACATGTCAAAGGTTAAGAAAGACAGTAGGAAAGAAAGAATGTCTTTTTTTTATTTAAACAACTTTTTTATGATTGTTGCATAAATTTACAGTTCGTCTTCCATGTGAATTTCGGAGCATGACGATTTTTTTTCTGTTTTATTTGTTATTAGATAAATTATATCCTCCATAAAGTAGCCTAATTCAGGAAATTCACCAGATTCCAACAACAAACGCAACACTCTACAGAGACACACCAGAGTGACACCCAAAAATAGAAGAAAGGAAATATAAAATGAAGATTTGACTCTGGGATCATCCTTCCATGTTTTCTACACCAATTTACTTTGTGCAGGTTCTGCAAGGAAAAATGTAGAGCAATTCAAAGCAACAAAAGCAAATTAGAATGACCACAATGTAATGCTTGGCTCACATGGGAAGATTTTTATGCCCACTTTTCACCTGCTCTTTAGTTTCAGATTGTCGTAAAAATAATCACTGCTTCGTGTTGAGAGAGATCTATGTGCCAGGATGTTGCGACCCTCTGACCTCAAATTGTGGAAATGCAACATGTTGAATAATCGTGGCCCGATATCTCGGGGTGTGGGTGTTCTTCGAAGAACATGCACCTGTTGAATGTGATATGCAGCCAATCAGAAAGCGAGGCGACTGGAAGCCAGAGGGGATTCAAAGATAATAATGCCTGAGCTAAAAAAGCACAGCCCCTGCTTGCGCATCTCCTCTTTGACCAACCCTGTTCAAAGCTCAGTTAGCTTCTTCTCTCTAGTTTGTGGAATCTCTGGCACCTTCATTTATATGGCAGTGAATTTTTATTGTCTCTTGTTGTTGTTCTGCCTGTTTTGGTTTGTTATGGACCATGTATGTCTGGATAAAAAGGTTTGATTGATTTAACCAACGCCTCGTCTTTATGTATTGTTTTTTTCTCCGTTAAAAATAGACCACAATGATCGCCGTTGGTTTGTCCTCGTCTGCCGTGTTTATTTACGATTGATCAAAAGTCAAGTGACTTTTGATCTCGCAAGGTTTTGCAAGATTCGCCTTCTGACTTTTAAATGCCCGTGAGCGAAATCTGTCCATGTGTGGTCCGACCACACATGACTCACGGTGGTCGCTGAGCGGCAAAACTGAGGCGAATGCCTATTGTAATTGCAAGATTTTTTATTGCGTATTATTCTGACACTTTACGCAGCGTGTTGGAGACTTTAATTGTTTTCATAAACTCGTCAAACTTCACCAAAAACTGACTATTGCAGAAAATTATCGGATTTTAATGGGATCAAAAGTGGGCGTGGAAAAACTGCTCTTCAGCACTCCCTAAACTGAGATAGGCTGTCCATCGTAGAGATCTGAAACTCGGTGCGTCGATGCTGCACACACTGCATAACCAAACCTGGTTTACTTATGACTTTTTATTTTTTTTATATTATTGTCACGTCTCTCAAGTTTTGAAAATCTACCGACAATTTTAAAATCTTGCCATGTGAACCAGGACTGTGAAAAAAAAAAAAACACGCAAACTTGACGACACAGGAAGGACCTTAGCTCTGATTAGAATCCAGGACTTTTGAGTTGCAAAGCAGCAGTTCCAACAGCAGCTCTACCCTGCAGCATGGAAAACGATTTACTGTCAAATATTATGCAACTGCTGCTTTCAGCGCAACATGCACTCATAAAGGCTACAGTGAGTCTGTGCCACAGTGGGAATATTGTAACTAAAAGCGTTCGGTATATCTGTTTTACGGCATTCTCGCTGTCGGGGGGTCGTGCGTATGGTCACACATCCAAGGAGAAAATGTGGCTTTCGAGGATGCTCATTGGTTGAGACAGAAATCTGTGCTTCTGAGGTCTACATTAAGGCCGAGAGCCGTTCATTCATGGATTTTTTTCTCGTTCAGTATTTCCTTTTCAGCATTGTTTGTTTACACATCTTAAATGCCATGCTAGAATTATGTACCAACGTGATTAAGATTGGTAGTAAATAAAAACAAAAACAAGAAAAGTACAAGATTTAGCTCTGTAAAACATGTGGCAGTCACGGTGCTGTTTTGTTGGTGTGACAAGTGGCAGGATTCGGCACATAAACATCAAGTCGTTGCCTATAATCAAAGAAGCACATCGATTACAGAAACTACACTCGTGTCAAGCTCTGCTTTCCTCTGAAATCTTCGCCTTTCCTCTCCAAACAAGTTTCAACCATTAACAATTTTTCACACATGCCTTTCACACGTCGCAGGTGTAGCTATTACTTTAACTATTTCCATTTAGGCAACAGTACAGTATGAAGTCTTGGCACCGGAACATCTGAGTCGAATCGTAAGTCCTGGGATTAGTTACACCTGTGTTTGGTGTTGGAAAAAATATGGCAGCCGCATATTTTTTTGGCTGGAAAAGTTAATATTAGCTTGGCAAAGCATCACAGCCCCACCGTCCACAAGCTTTGATGGGCTTCGCTGTGAGTCAGTGGAAGAGAATCCACAGTCCCCAGATGTGAGCTTTTGGAAATTGGACCCCATCTAGGAGCACATTCATTGGCATATTCTCCATTTACTGAACTGGATCAGAAGCCTCTACAACCAAAGTTATTTATGTGCACATAAAATGTTACATATGTAACGAGTACCCAAAATGCAGGACTTGGCAGCAAAGACAAGGAAAGGAACAAATTTAGCTTTATTTTGAAACTAACCAAACGCACGGCCGCGGCATGTTATTCTAAATTACAAACCCAGAAAAGAAAGGAGGGCAAGGAGGGAGCAGGGGATAAACAAAACTTAGCTTGGCGCAACTGAAGCGATCAGCGGCGAGGCTCTCACACTAAACAGAAGAAAAACTAGGACGGTATTCTGTATACGGAGGGAAGTACAGACTTAATGTAAAGCAGGTTTAACAATCCGAGACACAAATCAGGTGTGACTCAGTGGCAGGATGTGAAATGGAGTGAATGTATTATTATTTTTTTTTTACAAAAACCAGGATGAAGTTATCTAGAACAGGGACGAACTAAAGTAAAGACGTAGAGACAAGCGGTAATGAATCTAATCCAATCAAATAAAACTAGAGTATAACAGAACATATGAGCACAGTAATTATATCCTAACAAGACACAATGAGCGTCTTGTTGCTGAATGCCGTTAGGTCCAGCCACAGGAGGAAACAAGCACATGGGGATAAACATCTCGATATCCCTGGGCAAATAAAAGACATTCATCTTTGCAGGAACCTCAAATCCAAAGTAAAGTGTTGCGACACTACCTCAGCTGAAAAAAAAAAAAAAAAAGATTAACCGTGTAGTGTGTCTTAAACAAGGATGTTGACCCAAAATTAAGACCCTGGAGATTAGTTTGTCTTCACAAACATATGGTGAAAACTGAAATGATGGAAAATACACTCTGTCTCAACACACGGAGAGATGTTTACATAAATAAAGTCCATCATCCTCAGGAACACAGCATTTCCGAAAAATAAGCAATAATATCCAAAGCCGTCGGTATAAACTGTCAAATATTTCAACTAGCGGCCTTCCTGTTTGTTAATTCAGCCTGGATGGCATCCGATTACATTCCCATACTTTGGTTCCGACCAGAAACCGGAAGTGCGCGACCAAAACCGGAAGTACAAGTTAAGGGCGATATTTTCAAGCGAAAACTTACATAAAGCATGAACTGATCATCTAAGCAACTTGCAATCATTTTTAATTACATGGAAATATTTTTAGATACTTAAACCTATGAACTTATTTATTTAGAGAAATGTCTTAAGCTGCCTGAACCTCAACTCCTGTGCAAAGAATCAGATTATAGATTCCTCAAGAGGAGATGGCGTCTCTGATTATGTTGACAAGACAGTTTCCCCTCCTGCCTAATGAAGGAGGCATTGATGCTGCAGCTCTGAACAAGTGTACCAGTGCTTGTCAACACCAGGAACTGTTCCCAGAAGAAATCACAACCCTTCTCACTGGCTAGTTGGATGTGCTGAACCCCAGCCTGTTTGTCAGAATGGTTCACACTAGGATGTTGTGTCTGGGCAGAGATACTTACTTCATGAATTAGCTTAAAACAACCTCATTTATGTGTGTTTCGCTCTGTTTTGTTGCGCTTTAATTATTCAGGACAGAGCCAGCCCATAGGCAAAACGACCAAAGCTATCAGCGCTGCAGGCTGTTTTGGAAAGTTGACTTGCAAAGAGCCATTTTACTCCAGTAACTTAAGCTGGTGCCATTTTATGTGTTTTCCCTTCCTCTTATGTTACTACCCTGCAAAATAATATGTCTTCATAGTCTTAATTAAAATGTTGTTTCTGGTATCCCAGCCGCTAATGCTAACCTGGTTGCCACCATTAGTTCTGCCGTGTTTACAGTGTTTTGTTCTAAAGTGGTTGCTAAACAGCATCTCAGCTGCTGTTTTACATTGTTAGCTAAACCACTTGTTCGCCATGTCACATCATCTGTCACCGTGATGGCTAATTATCACAATGTTAAGAATCAATTCCCCAATTGATTCATTCCTAATTTAGTACATTATTTTGGGGACATTATTTTAAGAATAATGTTGAATTTTCCCTTCTGCTTTGTATTGTGGACTGGTTGTTTAACTCAACTTTCAACTTTTAAAGCTAAATTGTTCCCCATCAATCAAACCTTAGTTCTTAAATGTACATATTCACATCAAGTGATATCTGTGCATTGTTATTTTATTAGTTATTAGTGTTTGAGTGTTTCTTAATAAATGCTTGTAGTTTGGAGAGAACTTGTTAAAGTTTATTTTCTACATGTTTAAAGTGTTTTCTGTTCAATATACATACAAAGCCTCTCCATCATATTGTTTTATAATACCAGTCTAAAGATTATTAGACTGATGAATATGAGGTTCTTATGTACATTAGTTAAGTTTAAAGTAACACCCCAGCTGTTACATCTTTATACAAAAGACAATTAGATTTTTGCTCATAGCACATGACCTTTACAGCCAGCCTTCATGTCAGCAGTTAAAAAGAAACTATTAGCGTAAATTCAGCATAACACGTGTAGGTAAGACATGCACATGTTTCTTTAGCTCATATAGTGGGGAGAAGGGATAAATATACACTTGAGTTCTGTCACAACTGGATAAAAACCAGCCTCATTCTGTGTGTGTGTGTGTGTGTGTGTGTGAGCAAGTTAATCTGTGCATGTGCACAAGACACATAACCGGCAAAAATTTCAAGCCAAACCAGAAGGGATCCGACAGGATTCCAGGCCATCTGTCTCTGCCAGAAGAAACGATAGAGGGAGCAGTGATAAATTATTTCTCAGCTTGTGATCTTCGTGGCTGCATTCTTCCCTCTCCACAAGCATATGTGACCCTTGTCATTTTTCTTTTTTCTTTTTTTGCAGTGATATACTGCCTTCCTTTTCCTACATGTTTCATTCTCTTCCAAATGCACGGGTTCCTCACCCATGTTCATCTGCGGTCGGATCTGCGCGTCGTGTCATGTGGCCTTTTCCTCTTTTTTCAGACGCCTCCTAAAGTCCTCCATAAGTAGCAGATGGGTATAGCGGGATCGGGGAGTGTCCCGCGTCTCGCATCCAATAACATATGATGATGCGACACCCCAGGGAGAACAAAAGGGAAAGAGTGATCTCATATCTTTTTCCACACAAATCCGCTCCCTTGTTTAGGCTGTGTAAGAGTGGGAAAAGAAAACAGATGCCGAAGCAATTTAATGTGGAGTTAGTTAAGAGTTCGGAATGAGAGTGCTCTGCGGTGGCTGCACCATTAAGTCAGACCCACACTGGTCTCACATTAACAGACTTGTCTCCATAATGCAAATGTGGTGTGCCAGTACAGGCAAAGAAACGGGCCAAACCAACTCTTAAGAGGAAACAAAACGCATTTGCTTGGAAGTAAGACAGCAAATTTAATTGGTCAATCTTCTTAACTTTTACTGGAATATGTGCGAGTGATGCTGACGGAGCTGCGTGACGTTAGGTTTTCGGAATAAAAATAAAAGAGACGGAGACAAACGGAGATGAGTCATCGGTAAGAAAAAAAAAAATTATATGCAGAATTCTAATTATTTCTTAGAATCAGAAACACAAATGTGACAGGAGAAAGCAGAAAGAAGTGAAAATGTACTCACAATTGACACGTTCCTGTGCACACAGCTCTGTAAAAATGCTGGGTAAATAAATGAGATGACAAATTTAAAAACATGTCACGGATTTAAAATAAATTAGAAAAAAAACTTCAATCATTTTTAAGCATTCAGTCTTCTGTATTTTACTCCTCTCGCTTTTCATTTTGACTCTGATTAACATGATATCAAGCTTAGCTGTCCTGGGTGAGTTTCCCCAAGTTTCCCACTTTTCTGTCACTTACATAAAACTATAATTTCCACAGAGGCGACAAATGATCCAAAAGATTTATTCATACAAAGATATAATTCACAAGAAGGGTTGCAAGGCATTCTACTAATTATCTATGTATTATTGCAGAAGGAAATCAATTATCCATAGTTCAAGAAAATGAAGAACAGTTAAATGGAATCTTATGGAATGTTGCGTTTTGATGAAAATATACTTGAATTTTTGGCCCAAAACTTGTTTAACATATGAATTATGAGCATGAAAGAAACACAAAATGAATCAGTTGTAAACATTAATATCTAAAGGGTCTATTTATTGTGGGGTTTTTTTTTCAACAATCTTATATAAAGTCCATCTCAGACGTGAAGTAACGATTTGTTTTCTTCGTTCTCATCTGCTCTACACTGGAGTTTTTAAGGTCAGTGCAGACTTTCTCTGGTATTTTTATGATCTTTCCAGTTATACCACCTTGCAGCTGAACAACAGTGCAAAGATAAATTTATCCTGGACTTGAGTGGCAGTGACAGTATGTCACTATTTTTTGCTGCACATTACTATGTGTGTTTTTGACCTGAAAAGATTCTGTTTTCCCTGCACTTCAGAGCAGTACATAAATCACACAGATTTGTACGGTTCTGTTTCAACACATTCAGGCTCTGAAAAAAGGCATTAAAGTGTATTTTTGTTTGTTCACACATTCTTTCTTTTTTATTGTTTATGCAGGAGGGTTTTGTTTTCTCATCAGTCTCTCAAAGAACAAGTTTAAATCATGTCTATCGTCCACTTCCTCCCACAAACCAAAAACAGGAATGCTGGGCTAGTTTTAAATTTACTCGTCACAAAATTACGTATCTGTGTTTTGCATTTTAATGCAGATTTGAGCAATTAACCCTGCCGCATCCCGTTTCTAAGCCGCCGAAATTTTTTTTTTCTTTTTTTCAAAATAATCAGTGACGTAAATGGTAAAAATTAAGCCTAATTCATACCTCATAGTCAGCTTTACTGAGTCAGAGGTTTGACTTTTCAAAGTCTGTGTGACATAACTCAGCTAGGCTAACAATAGCATGACCAGAGCCACATGTTTGTCACAGAGGTCCAAGCGACCCCACGCATATAGAGAGGTTATTTTAAGCACTTTAAAGAGGCCGTACCACACTTATGCATCACTGTCACCGAGAGCTACTGAAATGCCAAAGCAGTGACCTGACAGTGATTACTTAATCCCATGCAGACACTCTGTCTGCGCTGATGAAGATTCACTCAAACCGCCGTGCTTGACGTGGCTCAGAAATAAGAAAAGTCCCATCATGTTATTATGGGCAGAAGATCTCAGACAAACGTTTCAGACACAATTATAGGTCCCAGTCAGGACGAACTAAGGAAGTCAGTGAAAACATGTCAAAGCTGTTCGTTCCCAGTGAGGTCATTATGTCAAACTGATTGGCAAAAGTTTTCGCTTATTTTATTTAATAGACTCATATTGACTCACTGAGTCACCTGCACCTACTCCGTACATGCTGTTCTATTCCAGTACAGAACCAGCCGTAGGACAGCTGCTGTGCAGATCATGACCAGACCTCTCGTCTGGTCATTTTGTTCTCGTGTTATTTACATACTGGCGAGGAAGGAAGAAAAGAAAAGAAAAGGATGGCTACCTGAAGATTAAAGGAAGAAAGAAAGAAGAGAAACACATTTATAACTGCCTGTTTGGCAGTTCGAATAATTAGATATGATACAGAGTAAAATTATTAAGTGGTTGTTGAAGGTAGGTGGCATTTCTTGTCGGTAATTTAAATCTGACCATTTATTTATTTACAGAAGTTCCTATCACTTTACATTCTTCACGTTATAACTTGGAACAAAACAAAAACATAAAGTGCTTACATGCCTGAAAAGACCAAAAAAAAACAACATGTTTATTAAATCAAAATCTCTCACCTACCTCCCAGTTTAATCTTTCCAATTTATTTATGTCCTAAGTTTGGAATTCCCAGTATAGCTTTAATTTAAATTCATAAAATATTTTTTTACCTTATAATTTTACAAATGGCTGCTGCCCATCAGCAGGCATCTCCATCATATACAATGAATCAGCCCTTTTCCGATAAACAATAAAATGCTCCCAAATTTGACCAAATTTATGTTATTTTCTAAAGTTATTTTTCTAAAGAACTCATCTATTCACCTTTGATCTTCGATATATTTTTTTGACAATAGGTAAATATTTATTGATCTTTTTACTCAATATTTTTCAGGATAAAGCCTAACATAAGTAACTTTGAGGTTAAAGGTAACTGAATTTTTAAAATATTTTAAATGCATAATCTCACCACTGACTTGCTGCGCTGCCAAACACACCGGTGGAGTCTACCTTTCTCCATTTCACATTTAATGTTGGTCAGGGACACTCCTGTTATATTTGTTCAGTTGTTTTGAGCAGAATTACGTCACGCTGTCATACTTTTTTCCATGTCAATGCTGAGCAGAATTTGAAAAAGTTACTGATTTGTTTGTTGATAGTGTGCTTTACTCACTCAAAAAATAACAGAAAAAAAAAAAGTTAAATAAAAAGATCTTAATCAATTAGTGGTGACATCTGACCCGGGCACCGTCTCTCATTTTCCAACTTTAACCCTCTGCCCCCGACTCCTCTGTGTCCTTGGTGCGTTGACTTGTCCTTTCCTCCCAGATTTGGCTACCAGTCAGGCACCCACATAAGGTCATTTGATCTTTGATGTGAAGCCGCTTGGCGTTGCCTCTCCAACGTGGGAGCTACGATTGCAGCCTTTGATCGCACCCTTGATGTGAGTGATGGAGAGGTGTTTATGCAGTAGCCGTCTGCAGCCAGCCGAATCGCTGGCAGCGGCTCCCCCCACCCTCCCTCGAAACTCCCTCCTTAACGCCGACACTTGATGTTTGGCGTCTCTGACAGGTAAATCACAACAGTGACCTCGCAGAGCTTTCACTGAACTACTCGATCTGCTGTACGCTGTCAAGTCCACATACCTTCGCTCTCTGTCTTTCGCCACTGAAATATGACGGTCAAACCCTCCGATCATACCAGTGTTGAAATGGTTTGTTCCCACAGATAAGCAGCTTGACTTGGAAAATTAATAAAGGCAGAGAGCACACATGAGGGGGGGAGAGGAGGGTCTGAAGAGTGTGCATGAGGGCATATGTGACTTTCTTTTTACACACAGGCTTACCCGTGTTTAAGAAAAAAAATGTAAAAAAAAAAATAGAAAAACATACACGTTGACTGACGAGAGGAACTTTAATGTGCCATAACAAGCAGCAAAAAGTGGCCATGTGTATGCAAAATGCTGTATGTCATTTCGTGAACCCCTTTAGTGAATGAAAACGTAAATCCAAATATATACCACGGTCGCACATAAACACAGACAAACACAAACCGCATGTTGCAGGCAGTGAGTGACAGAGCTCTGCACGGTTACGGAGAAAAACAGGTGATTCGCACAGAACTCGTGTCCTGACACATACTGCCCTTGCAGAATTTTCTTGGCTCTTAAACTTTCACATTTTGTATCCCTACAAGTGTAAGCTGCAGCGTATTTCACTAAGATTTCATGCAATCGACCAACACAGAGCAGTGCATGAAAAAATAAAAAAATCTCAGTGTGGTTTCCAGAGTGAATACCTTGGGGGGTTTTGTTAATCGTGACTCTACCAGTTTAGAGGCTTTTGATCTCCTAGATAGTCCAGGTTCCCTGGTTAGACAAAGCAAGGAATGATAAAATAAAATAAAAATTGCTGCTTTTTCAAGCTGCTCAGTATCAGCAGGCAAGGCAGCATTAAAGGTGGCCTGTCGGAGTCCCTCCTGCCCTCCAGCCCATCTTAAAGCAGGAAATCTTCTAAGTTCTGGGACAGGATGAAATGCTGTGCAATCCTTTACAAAGCAGGGGGACTATAAAATAGTCCCCTTGTTGCCAGTTGCACACAAAGGTTGGGATGTAGCCTTTCACTACAAAGGCATAAAATCAATAGAAAATTTGTTCAAGGTGTAAATGACAGAGAAGTTAAATGTTCATATCAAATGCTCATTCGCCCGTCTCTCTAACGTAGCCTATGTGTGCGAACAGCTTTAAGAAATGTGACTTTCTGCCTGTTGTTCACCTTCTGTTTCATTCACTGGATGGTCTAGTTGTGTTCTCACCATAAGCCCCACCAGAGTTTCATTTGCAAGCAGACTAAAACCCTGAGTTCAGAAGAGCTTTCACACCTGCCTGCATGAAACAGGCCAAGGAAATGAACAATGTTCCATATAAAGCTCATCAAATGTATATTTGTGTTTTTATTTGCAAAGTTGGACGAAGAACATCCTTGAACGTCGGCTCTTGTCTGTCAGACATTCATTTAAAAACGCACAAAAAAACCCCTGCATTTCCAATGGATCTAGACTTTGACTAGGGCATTCAAACTAATTAATGCTTTGATGTCACTATTTGTAATAGGTGTTTTCTAGGACTGCCCTATATTTAGCTCCATCCATCTTCTCCTACGCCACAACACAGCTCCCCTTTCTCTGCTGAAGAAAAGCATCCACACTGCATGATGTCACCGTCACCCTTCAAAGTGGGTATTCGTCAAGCAGTTTTAGTTTTCTTTCACGTAAACTATTTATTTTTAAACACGTGTGCCATCCTGTCTTTTAAGAGATCTATTTAAAAACATAAGTAAGAACAATGTACTGTCACCGTTTCATTTCACAATTATGGTGTACTTAAGTTATCCTATCACAAAAAGTCCCCCAAAAAATACATTGAGGTAGTGCTGACAAGTTCATGGGGTCTGAAAG